AAAGCTCAATAAATAACAAAGAAGACCTTTGACCGGCACTTTTCTAATTTTGTCCGGAAGATTTCAACTTTAACGGACATGTTGACCGGCGAAAAAAAATCTAACTGAAACTCTGCCGCACGGTCCCCTCGTTCCTTGGAAGAGGCGGAGAGGTGGGTGTTTGTCATCTGCTGGTGGACTACCGGAGAGAATTACAGTGCTTGCCTCGACGGGGAGGGATTGCATTGAATTAAAGCAGCAGGAGCAAACGCTTGCCTCGGGGAGGGAGAAAAAGAGCGGAGAATAAACAGAAGGGCAACCATGGCAACCATGGCAACCATGCGCGGGAAGTCTTCTTCGCTGCTTTTGTGGCAGACTACAGCGCCACTTACAGGCCTGGCATATGTACTACAGCGTCTCCAGCGCTTTCGAGCGGCAATGGCCGGCCGTGGCCCAACCCCACATTCCCCTGATAGGTGGAGAGTTGGCCATATAGGCGGAGCGCCTCGTTCCTGACGTCAGAGGATTTTCAAATCTGTATCAGTCTGTATCAGATCCGTTGCAGCCCCGTTTTTAGAGATTTGGGTATGGAGGAAAAGAGAGAGGGTTGTGTTTTCTGACACTTGGTGAGTTCCCTGACACACCGGGAACACATATTCATGTATAAAAGACAAAAGTGCATTTTGCATGATAGGTCCCCTTTAAGGACACACAATTAATAATCCGCCGGATAAATAATAGGCTGTGTCACATCTTATTTGGCCTGTTCAAGAGGGGTCGAAGGGAAAAGTAAAATCTTTCATCAGTGACAAAACAATTAATAATGCCAGGCAATACAATAGCATGCTTTGGAGAATCATGCAGGTCTTGATCTCTGAGAATTTGGAGTAATGATATCATACAACTTTCACTTCTCTTTTTTGCAGTTTTAGCATTGCCTTGGTGACTGCAGGGCTGATTAACTTCAGAATATAAACAAATTAACCTCGATGAAAAACTGTAATGTTACAAAATAATATATATTATATTTTCTCATATCAGGCTATAATGAGTGTATACTGGCTGTATGCCTGATTACCAGATCCTGGTGCTATCTACTAATGCAGGACCTCTAGCCTTTCCAACTGGAAATATATATTGATTCTGTTAAATGCTATAACTCTTTATTAAATAACAACTTTGGTTTAAGCTTGTATATTTGTTCTTTTCTTACCAGAAGGTGATTAAGTGTGGAATTTCCACCACACTTGCAAACAGAGATGACCTCATGTTCTATCTACACTGTGAAGTTGTAAAGTTGCGACGCTCTCATGGTAACAAAATATGTCCACAGACACACACTGACTTACAAGGTGAATATAATACCAGCGTCGCTGTTGCCGCTAGTAATAAAACATTCCTTTGCGTGAGTGACCTTTTCTTTATTTATCACCTGCAGCAATTTATGAAACATAAAACATAAAAACATGTTAAACTTTATTATCATGTAAGACAACCTTGAATAACTTTAAGGTTGTTTTTGTATGTGCTTGGGCCTTTGTTATGTCCTTCAAGTACCTTTAATAACATATAATGTTATTTAACTGAGTATGGGAAGAACCACATTTTGTGCAGAACTCACACATACTTTTTAAAGAGGTTAGAATCATAAGAGAAACACCTCTCAAGTATCAGGACATGTTGGCATTTCAACCTAATGGTGATTTAACCTCCTCTAAAATTAATATGAGGGACATTTTCTAGCCTCAAAATGTGATGTATTTATTATGTTTAAGATTTAATAGGAAGGAAATTACCTGATGCAATACTTCAGGAAATAAATGACTTTTCTGACTAACTTGCAATGCCTTTCCTGAAGTAGTATAGTACTTGTTTGAGCTATAAATAAACATGGACATCTATATGTGTTCATCATAATCAGTAAGATGACTTAATTGTACTGACCAGAACCACATTCCTTTTTAATGATTGCTCTTACATGTGGAAGCATTCTATAAAATATAAGTGTGATCATATGAGCTCATGTACTCTATTACCTAAGCGCATTCATGCATGGCCACCTGAATTAAAATACATACTGACACGTTATTTCAAGCCTGTATAACGTTATTGAATGCACACATGAACACAGTTTGTGTGTTGAATATTATTTGATGCTCACGATAGCCGATTTTACTCTTACATGAGTTACTTGCCCTGAAGCCAAAGAAAAGTTAACCTCAGCTCTCTGAACAATGGAGCGGTGGTTAACCTCACATTATTCATCACCCATGCTCACACATTTTAGACCAATTTTAGATGATCGTTTCATCTATCCCTACAAAAAGGATCCCACAGAATCTAAATGAGCCCCTCTGAAAACATCCTGACCAGGATTACCAAAACATCTGCTCCCACACTGTTGAGTAAACAAGATAAACATTGAAAAAAGTCAGGAGATTATTACATCATCATAACAAAAAGTGTAAGAGAAAAACCTTGTAGTTGCTCTAAATACTTCCAATCTTCCCGCACATTTCCAACAGGATGTAATTGATTGTGCAGCACCTCTTGTCACCCTCTGTCTGAAACCAGAGCCCGGTCTGTTGTGATTGGTTAACCCCTTAGAGATGTCCCGCCTCTTAGCCTATCACGTACACTGTGTTAGAGCGCTAGGCAATAGAAGCGCAAGTGTTACACTGTGATGTCACTATGTTTCAGGCAGGGCTGGGGTGTGTTGGGGAGAAACATCTGCTGGACGGAATACTATGGGATACTAGCCTTTGCAGACCATTTACATGCACAAAAACCTATAAAACAAATCAATGTTCTGTCTTTGCTACTAAGATCAGGCAACAATATGTATTTCAAATGTTTATTTCCACAATCAATGATTCAGTCATTTGTTGGTGTGTAATACACAGCTCTTCAGTTGCATAGGTAAATATTAGTTTTAAAGATTGTCTTGTTTTCCAGATCCCCGATTTCAGAACTGGTTAAAGCTCCACTTAGAAGGTAAAAATGGCAGCAGTATGTAAAAGGGGATTACTTAAATTATAAGAATGACTGTGAAGAATTGATCAAAGCCTCCATTTATTATATTTAGTTTACCTGCAAATTGTCACATTTATTTCTTCTGAGTCATTGCCAACATTTAAAAAGATATATATATCTAAAAGGAAAATATGTGTCATTATATTGAATGGTTAAGGTAAGCCCGACCTGCGGCGGACATCAAGGATTACAATGCTGCATCCTGAATTCAAACAACATGCATCGCAAACCACATGCATCGCAGTAAACAAAAACAGCAGCCTTGTGAAACTCTCTCCATTTGTGACTGATAAAACAGCCCACCTCTTGTCTTTGTATTAAGTGGCCAATAATGGAAGCTTTTACTGTGTTTACTAATCACAGCAATGTCATGTTAAAATGTCTGAGCAAGGAAAAAAACACTTCAATATGGATTGACTTTGACTAGTTTTCACTCTATGATAAAGTGATTATTTTCAGGAATGTATTCACACAGCCCTTTTTTAAAGTAAACAAAGAAAAATGGCTTCTCTTTTCAGCAAGCAAAGCCATTATAGTATTGCTGTTAATTACACCCACACTAATAACACTTTCTGCTTTGTTTGCTGGCAGAATGTCCTGAATATTTGTTAAATCTGTATTCAGCAAGTATTAATGTTTTAAAGGTGGAGAGTTCTTGCTCTGTTTCTATGAGGCCGGTCATGAGTCCACTGAGTGACATGCCCTCTGATCTGGGACGGCAAGTCAGTCACTGTCAGATTTAGATACGGAGTAAAGTATTATTTTGCATAGATAGGTTCTTTGGCCATTGTGTAGCAGACAACAGCAGCAGTCAGAAGATTTTTATGCAAAACTGCTGCAGGCACTAAACTTTGTTATTTAAAGGGCAGCAAAGCAGCAGAATTCTGCTTAAGGAATTTTGTAAATGTGTAGAATCTACATCAAATGTAACTTGTAACTGAATACCTTTTACATTTTATATTTACATTTAGTTGTGCATGCCCTTTTATCTAATAGTGTTTTGTCTCTTCACTTTTGCTGTAACCATGTTCATTTCCCCTCTGTGGGATAATAAAGGAATTCTGATTCTGAAATGGTGACCAAATAATTGTGCAAGTGAAAGACGCATAAAGAGCTCTGATTGAAATGTGCCTGTGTTTAAGCTCAACTGAGGCTAAAACTAATTCAGAGCAATACAATAGGGTTAGGTTAGGGTTAGGCTTAGCCCTAAACCTCAGGCTTTCTGTTGGAGCTATTCATTGAGTTATGTTATTTAGTAGGGAGTAGGATACTCTTGCCAGAACATTGAAAATGTTTCCTGCGGAAGAGCTGCTTAATGTTGCCGCAGCGGCAGTTTATTTTTTAATTACATTTTCAGTTTAATTTCTTTATTTCGCCGCTCGTAAAAAACCTTGAGAACTTTTGTTGATATTCTATATGGATGTATACAACAGCGGAATAGGAACATTTTCCCTGAAGGCTGTACTGGACAACAGCTTTACCATTTGAGTATCAGAGTAACTGTTTCACTGCCATTTGATGAACATTAACAAAGTTCAATTCAGCCATGTGCATAGAACAAAATATTTCAGATTGTTTTCTGGATAACAAACAAAAACATTGGGATATTAATGAGACTTTAAATGCAATGAGTGATACTACTTCCGTATTGAGTAGAAAACGGAGCATCACGTTTTCCATATAGGATTGGCATTTTATCCGGAATAAGTTGTGTTTTTGTAAAACAGCCAATGTAAAAAGACAGTGATTACACTAAAACAAAAAACAAAAATACTATGTAGTGATTGAATTGTATGTCTGTGTATGTCCTGTAGCTGTGTATATGACATCAAAACCTTTGAACCTTTTGAGATCAATTCTTTGATCATGTACGATAGGCCTTTTCCTGTCTTTTGGCTAAGGAATTACTTTTTCTTGTTATGACAAAGAATGACTTAGATTCTGTTGGGGAATCACCTGAGTTTATGAGAGGACCATCTGTCACTTACCTTGCCAATGACCCTGGGGAAGGGAGCTCTCTGGTTCTCAGTTATGATCATAGGAGGGACCAGCAGGGATCTCTTGGAACGGGGTGGGACCATGTTGCCGACACCCAGAATGTCCTAAAAGACAATGGAAGAGAACAATATTGTTGAACTTTGAAATAACAAATATTTTATATTTCATGCGTGTAAGCCTTTCCTTAAATGATTACACCTCTATAGGCTGAAGGGTGTCTGTACACCTGGACACCAGCCGAGAGATATTAAATACACACACAGAGACAAACACACACACACATTAATTAAAAAATGTTTCTTAAATCTCAATCTCGATATATATATAGCAGCCATTCCATTCCAGTGTCTGTTGAATTCCAACACAGAGAAATATTCTAGATTAAATCTATAGAAAAAATAAAACAAATGCATTTTACTCAAACACATACCTATAAATAGTAAAACCATAGAAACTGTTAATGCTGCAGTGGTCTTTTATTTTTATTTTTTTGAACTACTTAACATTAATTTAGTTAAAATGTATTTCAAGTATTCTGTCATTCTGTACACATTTTTTTTTCAATTACTCTGGCTCTGTTTGCGTCTTTCACGCCCAGTACCTTGAGGTTTCATTTAAAAAAAGGGTTGGAAAAAGTGTCATTCACACACTGTAGGTGCAATTCTACAGTGAATTTAGAGGCAACAGCTTGCCTCTAATTTGGCAACAACAAATACTTAGAGAAAGAAGCTAAGGTGTATGTGTTATGATTGAGATGCTACTTTGCATCAATCAACTTTTCCCTAATTCTCCAATAAAGCATAAATGAACAGTCAGTATTTTTCCTAGTGTACACTCTCAGCAGGGAACTTGTAAATCCAAAATCCCCCACCCAATGCAAGAGTGCAACATTTTGTATGATGGATCTCGGGATATTGATCACCTGCTCAAAGACTTTTTCTGCAGCGTGCATGTCTGTTCTGTAAATGTATGTCCTAAGGGGTGTCAAACTCAATATCATCGCGGGCCACATCAGCATTAAGGTTGCACTCAAAGGGCTGGTTGTAACTTTAAGACTATATAAATATATATATATGTTTTATATTACATTATTGCCTCTGCATTGGATTATTAGCGGATAGGGTAATAACTTCATAATTAACTACGTCTGAGAGCAGAAGTTTAGGGCAAATCATTTCAAATAATTGCAAGTCTCTTCAGTGCGCATGTCACAAAATGAGATGCATTGTGGGACATCTAGTTTATGGACATCTTGCTTCTGTAAAGTGTCATGAAACCATATAATAAATGTATTGTATTTTTTGCAAGCTCTTGCGGGTCAAATAAAATGAAGTCGGAGGCCGGATCTGGCCCCCGGGCCTTGAGTTTGACACCCCTAAGGTCTTCTTTGAAAAAATGATGGTACCCAAAAGACATTGGGATATATTTGTCTCAAATTGTCTTTGCATAAATAAGTCAGAAAGCCAACCTCTATTGGTGAAGTGGTAAAATATTGGGAACCATTTAAAATTGATATTTATTTTCTGTTCAAAAATGCAAATGTGGTGTACATCAAAATAAAATAACGAAATCTTTCTAGGTAAATTTAACGTAGAAACATCAAACCACTGAGCCACTCTTTGATGAGCACCACGAACAGCAATTGGAAGCTAAAAACAATCAATGTTGAGATTAAAAAGAGAAACTCTGCACCTTCAATTAAATGTATGTTCATGTTGTCTCCCTTTTCGCTGCTAAGACAATGAGTACCTCTTTTCTTCTTTTATTATAAAAAACAATTACTAAAAAATGTTTTGACATTAAACAGTTACTATGTTTAACACAAGTCTGGTCGTCCCCAAGCCACCACAGTCCTTGTCCACACAGAGCCAGTCACTTCCTAAACGTTGAGCACAATGACCGAACAATGAGAGAGAGAAAGAAACAGCACAGCAACAAGCCCAGTCATTGAGCCCCGTGTACAGTTTCAATAAAAAATGGAAAACACTGACCTCAGGTTTGTGTGCTTTAATTTGCAATGCAAATAGTCTCTTTTGTCCTTCATCTTTTATAGCCTACTGTGCAACCATTTATTGACAATATGCACTGCACACAGGTATGGTTGTGAAGTTGTGTGTGTGTGCAGGGGACTGTTTGCGTTTACTGTTCACACTCCTGTTCTCGGCTGACAGGGACTCTGGCAGCACTCTCACCCCTGTCAGAATGACGGAAAGAGAACAGGTAAGGGGGAAAAACTGAGCCATTTGTTTACAGCACAGCGGCGACACTCTGACATTGAGGGCAGCGGCTAACACTCCCACACCTAAACGCCTCACTCGTCCACCTCCACCAGCTGCATAGGTCAGAGGGAACACAATGTCACAGTAATCATAAACACAACCCGACCAGAACAAACCAAAGACACACTGAGCGGTCTCTAAAATGGCCACTCTTATCGAACCCACTGGGGGATGACCTTCCAAAGGCCAAAATCTAAAAGTGGACCTGAAGCAGTTAAACAGAACACTGCACAAATCTGTGAGACATTAGAAGACCTACTTTGTGTCTAAAGAGCACAGTCAGTGGTGTGTGTACATACTGTACTATATGGAACCGGTTCACAAGCGAGATGATGGGACTTTTAAGCGTTTCCTGTAAAAACCCGGCCTGAGTGTGAAACCCGGGAATGAGCGCCTCAATCCCATCATGCACAGGTCTCAGCTGTGGGATATTTGTAAAGGAGGGTAAGAAGAGCTTGGGAGGCACCATGAAGTATTTTTAGCGGCTGGATGGGAGGACAGTTGACAGGGGTTAGGGCTGAGATAAATCGCTCTGTCAAATCCTCGTCTTCCCTGAGCTGAGATACAGTGGACATATAGAGGGAGGGAGGGCGCTTTAAAACCTATTAATGTTCTGCAGGATGTCAGGACACACTCACAAAAATCTCCAGCTGGACACAGACATGTGTCCTGCTACCTACGGGGTCTTCTGATAACAGGCAGCCCTGCTTCCTTTCCTCTCACCTTCTTACCTGCTACTTTGCTGTTCTCCCACGTTCCTTTCTCTCACTTAGCGATAGCTTTCTTTCACACCTCCTCCCTCTGCAGTCTTGCATGTTGTGATGAATGGTGTTCTCACAGGTTGGTGACACCGTAAGAGACGAAAGCTATGAATGTTTAATGTCTCCTGTTCATAAATTACTGCTGCGCCATCCACCTTGATCCAGCTTGAATACATTTGCTCTTCTTTCTCTGTCTCTCAAATGATTATTAAGGCATTTCCGTGTACTGAGTTGCAAGTTTCATGAGAACAAAATGTAATCTCGTGAGGAAGATTGGAATATATTTGAACAGTCACAAAGTAATGCAGAATGTAACAATTGTATTTACTCAAGTATTACTGGTCTGCAAATTTGAGGAACTTGTAGTTCATTTGAATATGTCCATATCATTTCTTTCACAGGGAAAAGTAGTTTTTTTAAAAAACTTATGTCAGTCTTAAAACTTTAGTTTGGGGTTACTTCACATATAATAACATTAGCGTGTATAAATATGATGTTTTGCATGAATTAAACTTTACTGTTTTTCCATGCGTTAATGTTCAAAAAGGTCTTTATTTTCTTATACTGCCTGTGCTGCAGCACCTCTTTTCGCCCTCTGTCTGAAACCAGAGCCCAGTCTGCTCTGATTGGTTAGCTGGCCGGCTCTGTTACTGTTAATTGGTCAATTGGTCTAGTTACTAAATGATATGTGTCAGAGACACTTGATTGGCAACTTCATTTATTTCTAATCATTTTGATGTGTTTGTATTTTTGGCCAATGGGTACTTGATAATGAACAATGACATTTTATTGATTTATTCATTTAACTAAAGTAAAGGATCTATATAACTCTTTCAACACTGTGTATATGCATACACTGTATAATGTACTACCATAAGTGTCTGGTTGTGTGTGTGTGTGTGTGTGTGTGTGTGTGTGGTGTGTGTGTGTGTGTGTGTGTGTGTGTGTGTGTGTGCGTGTGTGTGTGTGTGTGTGGCTGTGTGTGTGAGGCACGGAAAGATGGAGCCTTTGTCATTGTCATCGCATGGCAGTAGAGTCACGTCCTTGTCCATTCTGCCAGTTTCACTCTCAATGCTATATTGAGAAGTGTCATTACTCATTCCTGACAATGTGTTGGAGACCTGGTGAGAGATGGACAATATCAAGGCCAGCAGCGGTGGTGACAGGGACGTACAGCTATGTAATGTGGAATAAACTCGTGGATATGCAGCCATGTCATGCAATCAGTCAGTTACACACACAGTGACAGCAGTTTGTATATGTGAAAAGTTCATATTACAAAAGCACACTATTCTGATGGCCTGTCCTTAAATGTTGGTGTCAACAGCACAATATGTCACACTTTGTTAGAGTATACTCAAGAAAGCATAAACACTTTTGATCTTAGTCAACAGAATGCAGCTAGTGACTGATGACGAATGCTTATTTCAAATATTCAATTAGCTGCATTAATTAACACTGTGCCAATGTGATTATGTGTACAATCGCACCTGCGACAGATAACGGTGTTGAGTGTGAAAGGAACAAAATCGAGACGCAACTGTTTCAAAACAAGCTCATTATAAAATGAAGTCATGTAAAACTGCCCCTATTAGATGTACATTAACCTAATTGCACAAACATTGTGAACATAAATGTTCATTACTATAAATGTGTATTATATGGTTTAGGTATTAGAGCACATTGCAGTAGTGCATGCAGTGTCATGTTCAAGTGTTCTACCGCAACTACTTATCCTTTCCCGTTTTTTGTGAATTGGGTAAGAAAAGTATTGTTTGAATCTTGACCAGCATGCTTTGAGTTTATCAGCCCCACCACTGTATTAAATGTGTATTTATAAACCTTACATTTTCTCCCGACAGGTATAATATTTGAGCTGTTTTAAGCATCAAGAAATGGTTCAGGTCTTCTTGAATTTGTTATCCTCCGCTGACCTGAAACAGTCATCAATCTGATGATCCACGTTCCCCTTGACACAGTCAGACTTCTCTCTCATGTGAAGCAGGTACGGCACCAAGAAGGGAAGCTTTCAACTAAATCTAAGATACCAGAGCATCCTTTTCA